CATAATGGTTTAAGTCACAGAACTCAATCTATTAATGATTATTAGAAAGATTTGCAAGCATTTCATTTCTTACTTAGGAGAACAGCTGGTAACTCTCCCATCAAGGCTCAGCTAAGATTCATCTAAATGTACTAGGACATCTCTCTTTTTCTCTTTCCCTTTCATTCACACATGCACACAGTTGATTAATACCTTGACATCAATAGAACCTATCAATGAACCTAAAAATGGCCTGGAACTGGGAAACTCACCTTGAATATTGCCATTGATCTCTGGAGCTCAGAAATATTTGTGTGCCTGCTCAGTTATAAACCTCTTCTAAACGTGGCCATTCTTTTCCTTCCCTGTTGTCATACTTGAGGATACATTTGCATCTTGTGACTTATTGTTTGTTTTCTGACAAATACTTTTCCAAATAGTGCCTCAGAAGAACTGATATTTTCAGAGTAATGGCCATTTGAGTTTTTGCCATTTTCTGAAGCAACCTGTGTTTTGTGGTGAATTTTTCACACACATTTACATGGAGCTGTCACAGCCCCATGCTGTGAGGTTGGGATGCCGACATGGGAACTTTGCAGTGCTAGGAAAAGAACAGAAATAAGCATGGGGAGCTTTGAGCACATGACCAAGACTGGATGAATGCCACTTTTACCTAATTACATGAGATCCTGAATTGTGGAAACAAAGGCCAGCTTAAAAGAAATTCAAATGAAATACTGGTTTTCCTTACTGACAACTTTTCTGAGAAGAAAAGATCCATCTTTTCAAGCAGCATAGAATTGTGGGAGACTATGAATTGCCACACTGAGAGCCGCTGGGAATGCACATTAATCAGTGTCCGAAGCAACCATAAATTTTGACCCGCTAACTGGTCTAAGGAGAGTAAATGAGTCATTTGTACCAGAGCAAGGCTCCTGTAGGATGTACGCCGCAGGCCTTTTGAGCGACGCCAGGTAATATCTGAGTCCCGCTCCCAGCCGTCATGCTCTGAGGCCTCTGGGACAGATAGATTTGCTATGACTTCAGGAATGCGAGCAGTTCTGTTGTGCTTTGATTGAGGTTTACTGTAGTTGCAGAGAATCTATGCCCGCCTCCCACAATTTCATCTGGTCTTTTTGGTGTCACTGTTTTACATTCCTGTTGCCTTTCTCTCCTAAAACCTTTCATTTGCATCTCATGGTACCCTCCCCCAATTTTTTTTCCCCCAAATTTTGGTGAAATATACAGAACACAAAACTTACTGACTTATCCATTGTTAAGTGTACGATTCAGCGGCATTAACTACATTCCCAGTGTGCAGCCATCACCACCGTCCATCTCCAGAACTTCTTCACTCTCCCAAACCAAAGCTCTGTACTCAGAAAGCAGTAACTCCCCAGAGCCCCTGACAGCGCCCTGCCCCGTGCTACTTTCTGTCTCTGTGAACTTGACTACTCTGGATACCTGGTGTTAAGTGGAATCCTACAGTATTTGTCTTCTTCTGTCTGGCTTATTTCACTTAGGTTTTCAAGATTCATCCAGGTTGTAGGAGAATTTCACTTCTCTTTTAAGGCTGAATAATGGTTCCTTGTGTCTTTATACCACCTTGGTTCATCCACGCATCCGTCAGTGAACACTTGGCTGGTGTCTGCCCCTTGGCCGTCACAAATAATGCTGCTGTGGAATTGGCATATGGATCCCTGTTCTGTGGAAGTGTTGAGTCACTGTATTGTACGCCTGAAACTAATACTACACTGTATGTTAACTAGCTGGAATTTAAATAAAAACTTTTTAAAAATCAGTGAGTTAAAAGAAAATATTCTAAATAAACAAATCAATTCCCCCAATTCTATCTGTACCTGTTCCCCCAGTTCTTTTTATTTTTTTTAAAGATTTTTATTTATTTATTTGACACTGAGAGAGTGATCACAAGTAGGCAGAGAGGCAGGCAGAGAGAGAGAGAGAGGAAGCAGGCTCCCCATTGAGCAGAAAGCCCGATGCGGGGCTCGATCCCAGGACCCTGAGATTATGACCTGAGCCGAAGGCAGAGGCTTAACCCACTGAGCCACCCAGGCGCCCACCCCCAGTTCTTTCTAAATAAAAGTTTGAAACTACCTTTAAGGGTAGGGGAACTCACTTTAGAACTGAGAGATAGAAACAGGAAGATCTTGAATTAAAATTAAGCCTCTTGGGAGTAATGCCTGTGTCCTCTTCTAGCCTGAAAATTACTTGCCCCCTCTGGGATTTGACAAAGATTAAAGATCAGCAGTACATTAAGAGTAGTTCCTGTCACATTCTTTCCTTTTCTTTTTTTCTCTAAGACCTCAAAACTAGCCTGAAGTTGCTAAAACCCTCTCCCTGATATTTGACCTTAACCTTATACTAAGGATCAGCCTGGAGAATCAGTAGACTTAACTTTTGAAACAATCCAGAAGTTTTGAACAATGTTACATGTTCAAATGAACAAATGTTAAACAAAAGTTTAAACAATGGCAGAAGTTTTGTTGTTGTTTTGCTTTTAATCATAGCCCTTCTATGGATCTATATGCGGCTAGAAAAGAATAGAAGGTATTGCCAGTCCAGAGACCATTCACGGGACACTTCTTCATTACCATTTATAATTTGCATAAACATATTAAACTTTGTAACTGTTTGGTTTGGGGCATGAATGGAAAGTTATTTATGCATACAGTTTTTTAAGGACCAGAGAATAAATGCTAGTAAATCTCAATATTTACTTTTAAGAATGGGCCATAAGTCATTTCAAGTTTGTAAGAGGTGTAAGAGGAATTGGAATAGAAAACTGAATTAGCAAAGTATTACCATGGTCCAAGCTAGAAATAATAAAGACTTCAATTAGGAAATTAATACTGAGATATCCAGGGGTAGATACAACAGAACTTACGTCCCACACAAAATTGAAAAATGAAGTAAAAATACTACCTTCCTAGAAAGGATGGTCCTAACATCAAGACCAAATGAGTTTACCATTGAAGAGAACAAGTAGAGATCCATGAGGGCCAACTGTGTTTATGTGTGGGAGGAGGTCAGAAAACCTGAGAAAGAGAAGGAAAATCAATTGACTATTATGTCAGAAATGAAGTCCTAAAAAAAAAAAAAAAAAGTGGCCTGAGATTTTCAAGTAGGATTTATGAATATCTCAAGAACAATTAAGAGCAAATGTAGTAATACAAAATTAGAGTAAACTTCAAAAATGTTTCTGAAATAGTCTTTGAAATATTTTTCCAGGGGCACCTGCTTGGCTCAGTTGGTAGGGAATGCATTACTTGATCTTGGGGTCATGAGTTCAAGCCCCACCTCGGGCATGGAGCCTACTTAATTAGAAAAGAAAAAAAGTTAAAAAAGAAATCTTTTTCTCAAATGTATCTTTATTGAGTGTCTTCAAAGTTGTACTTTATAAAGGGGGCACCTGGCTGGCTCAGTCAGTGAAGCATGAAGCTTTTGAGCTTGGGGTTATAAGTTCAAGCCTTACACTGGGTATAGAGATTGCTTAAAAATAAAATCTTTTTGTACTTTGAAATCCAAGAAAGACAACCCGACTTGAACAGAAAATAGGTTTTAGTCCCAACCCCACCCCTCCAACCACTTACCCAGTTCTCTTTTTCCTAATCCATTGAATGGGGATGACATTCCATGGCCTGCCTACTCCATGGAATTATTATCTGTGTTAATAAATTGGATAGCAAATGTGAGAATGTATTGTAAAATGTAGATCATTATGTAAATAATGCATTATTGGAACTAACTTTTTTGCTGCTGTTCACAGGCATTTTTGTGTTAAGAACCTTTGGACAATTTGTATTGCTAGGAAAGAGGGATAAAATAATACTAGGAAGTCCCAGGTACCTGTCTTCAGGGAGCTCACTCTACCACAGGGATAAGAAAGTAAATAACTGTAAACATGAGGGTATAAGTTCTCTGAGAGCAGGATTCAAATCACTAATGCATTACTATTGCCTAACTTGGTACTTGAAAACTATTAGGCTGTCCTAAAATAGATGCTTAGAAAAATTGATGAAATTATATAATTCAAAGTAAAAATTCCTATCAGTAAGATACTATGATAAGTTTTGAGGAAGGAGAGATTCAAAGCCCGGTACATTGCTGGAATCATAGTAATATACAAATAAATACAGGATGAATTAATGAATCATAGGGGAGGTGTCCCCGAAAACTACTTTAGTTACCATTGCAGCTTTTTTTTTTAAGATTTTATTGATTCATTTGACAGACAGAGATCACAAGTAGGCAGAGAGGCAGGCAGAGAGAGAGGGGGGAAGCAGGCTCTGTGCTGAGCAGAGAGCCCAATGCGGTACTCAATCCCAGGACCCTGAGATCACAACCTGAGCCGAAGGCAGAGACCTAACCCACTGAGCCACCTAGGTGCCCCACCATAGCAGCTTTTGAAAGGAATTGAAACCATATCAGATGCACAATCCAGAAATAGCAGCAAGTGAAAGATGGTTTTTAAACCTAGAAGACGCGAAGTTGCTTAAGACCATGGCCATCAGAAAAAACAGAGATAGGTCAGAGAAGATACTCTCAGAAATGGTATTACCGGGGCACCTGGGTGGCTCAGTGGGTTAAGCCTCTGCCTTTGGCTCAGGTCATGATCTCAGGGTCCTGGGATCAAGTCCCGCATTGGGCTCTCTGCTCAGCGGGGAGCCTGCTTCCCCCTTTCTCTCTGCCAGCCTCTCTGCCTACTTGTGATCTCTGTCTGTCAGGTAAATAAATAAAATCTTTAAAAAAAAAAAAAAAGAAATGGTATTACTTCCAAGCTGATCATTGATTCACTGCATCTCACCCAGGGGCAGGAGCTTACTTATGGTAAGATACAAAATTTGGTACTCAGTGTTTTGTAGAAATGCGGGGCCTGAACTCATGACCTTGAGATCAAGACCTGAGGTGAGATCAAACGTCGGACACCTAACCAGCACTCAGTGTTCTGCTTTAAATGTGGCAAGCGAAAGGATCCTGACCATGTTCTCTTCTATCCATAGGAATAGATAATCTCTGTGAGAGGGCGCTTCACATCCGCAAACTCCTCCTGACCTTGCCTAGGTCCGTCCTTATAGTGATGAGGTACCTCTTTGCCTTCCTCAATCAGTAAGTACCCTAATACTCCGCCAGAATGCGCATCTTTTACTTCCATTTGCACTGATCTGAATTCTTTGTTCTTGGATTCTGTAACGTGCACACTGGGTCCCACTTATCAGCAGAGTCAAAGAGAAGACGATTGACTATAGACTGAAGGTATGTTTTTCTTAAGCAGATCAAGGTCATTGTATAATAGCTGAAAGATGCAGAAACTGTGGCCATACATGCAAAAATATACAAATATTACCAAAAAGAATACTTGTCAGTGAAATATGTGTTTTTCCAACTTCCATCCAAAGCTAATGTCATGAACATTTTTGTCAAAATGATGTAAACCACCCACTCACTGCAGAAAATTGCTGGGATTTTTTATGTTGTAGTCAAGGAAGGAGGGGAACTATAGATGCGAATTACACACAGATCCAAAAAAGAACTTCTGTAAACTCAATATAATGAGACCTTGTCAAGAAGAAAATATTTATAAAAGTCTCTGCAGCAATGTAACAGAAACCTTAAAAAATCATAGCATTATTTTCAAAGGAACCTTACTGTTTTAATTTAAGCACCTTGGTTTTCATTTGTCTTACTTCTTGGGTAATAAAAATGGACCCCACTATAAGAATATCTTCCCCAAGTCCTGTCTGAGAGCCCCCTTCCTATTCAAGGATCTAGTTAAGTAATTGGAAATAAAAGAATCTGGGAGGAGTAAGCTCAGGGCAATGCCTTCTCCTTCTGGCATGGGTTCATCCTTCCCAAAATTGGGATTTTTTTCTCTTCTCTATTTCTTTGGAGGTTTAGAGTTCTCACACACCATGGAGACTGAAGGACTTAAGTCCTGCTTGACTACTCCTGAAATCATACCCACTCAGGCTGGCCCCAGAAACCAAGTAGCATCTGATGGGGAAATGTTTGCAGGGAACGAACATAAGCACAAATGACAGTGGAGACCCATTTGTACAGAAATCACCACTAGAAATAAGCAGGATCTAGAGACATGGATATAAACTATGTTTAGTTTAAATAGATGGCCATAAATATAAATTGTACCTTTTTTTGTTAAAGATTTTGCTTATTTATTTATTTGGCAGACTGGGGGAGTGGGAGCACAAGCAGGAGGAGTAGGAAAGGGAGAAGCAGGCTTCCTGCTGAGCAGGGAGCCCGATGAGGGATCCCAGGACCCTGGGATCATGACCTGAGCTGCTGCCAGACAATGACTGAGCCACCCAGGCGCCCCTAAATCTTACCTTTAATTAAGCCTTGTTACTATGGTGCTTTTAAAAATCTGAAGGCTTGCTGACCTTGGCGGGCAAGTGTGAGGGCTCCAAGCCTCTGAACAGGCTGCCATGTGGCCTGGGCCTGGGCACCCAGCCATCACAGAGGAGCTGCTTTGGGGCCAGCTCTTCCCAGGGGTGTCACCTGAGGAGTCCTGCCCCTTTCTGGCAAAGAGGAGGGGGTTTCTTAAGTCTATTGCATCTGCAGACATGGATTTCAAACAACGGACGCATTCTTGGCTGCTCGAACCAAAAAGCAATATGGGAGGGATCACAACTGACCGAGCTGCCATCATTTCCAAATTCTGGAAGAGGCATAAGACAAAAATTCGAGACAGCCTCATGAACCAGAGCTGTTGGGACAGTGGGCTTCTCGACCTGAACTGGAGAGTGGATGGCAGATCCCAGTCAAGGCACTCAACTCAAATATACACCCCTCTTGCCATAATGGGGCTGGAAACAGGGCAAAATGGATAGGAATCTGAATCTCTTTGTTTGGCATTTGACCTGCCTAGCTAACGATGGAGTTATTGAAGCAATTGAAGTGGCCTGGGTTGGTTTTCGTTTTTTGTTTTTTGTTTTTTGTTTTAATTTATTTGACAGAGAGAGAGATCACAAGTAGGCAGAGATGCAGGCAGAGAGAGTGGGGGGAAGCAGGCTCCCCACTGAGGAGAGAGCCTGATGCAGGGCTTGATCCCAGGATCCTGAGATCATGACCTGAGCCGAGGGCAGAGGCTTTAACCCACTGAGCCACCCAGGTGCCCCGGTTCTTTTTTTTTTTTTTTCTTTTAATCTTATTTCCTCATCAATATTAAAGCCTCAAATTAAAAAAAATAAATAAATTTAAAAAAACAATCCAGAGGCTTGCCATCTTCACCCTTAATTTCAAGTGCCTCCCCTTCCCGTCTGAGGGCCTTCCTTCCTGCCGGCCCTCTAGGTGAATTTTCCTGGCACACCTGAGCAAAACCCACTGTGAACCAGTAAACCACAAGAGACAGGCAAAGCAGTGAATCAAGAAAGTTCGTAAAACCTGAATCTAACTCAGCAGAATAGCAAATGTACGTGAGTCATCCAGCTGGCCTTGCTTCCAGCATTTCTGCCCAAAGATGCCCCCTGGTTCACTGCACCTGCCTTCATGCAGAAACAAGCCCCAGCCTGTAGGGGTTGCTTGGGACAGGAATTATGAAAAGAAAAGGAAATTATTCTCCCTTAACTGTAAAATCGAAACGTGGGTATAACACTTTCATAACAAGATTTTGCTCTTCAAGTCAGCACTAAGTTAAAGACCCAGAAAGATTCTCTGAGACTCTCCCCACCGAGCTTACGTGTGTCTTGGGAGAATTAGACCATTCTTACTCTGCATCTCACTTCTCCGTGCATCCATTTTGCAGACAATCTGTAACATGATCATTGCCTTTATTGTGAACTTTTTATAAAAGACTGTATGCTTGAAAAATGGCAGGCAGGAGAGACATATGTTAGCTGAGGAAATTATGCTTTTGTATTTTCTGCTTTCTAGGCTATCTTATTTCCGAAAAAGGGTAAAGTATCAGGTCCTGTGGCATTTCCGTTTCTTTGTGTCTGTCACCATCTCACAAATGCAGCCAAGTCTCTTTTTTTCTTCTTCCATTTGTCATCTGTTCATCTGGATTTTACATTTCCTTTCAAGATTGACATTTTACTCATGGAAAGATAATGTCTCTAGCTTCTCCCTAGAACAGTACCCTCTGCATGTGTTAGAGGCAGAACAATCAACTGCTGGCTTATTTTGAGTTGCCTCTGGACAATATCTCACAAATATCCATTGGATTGAATTTAGAAATTAGTACTAGACAACCAGAAATTGCCCCAAAGTTTGTAGTTAGCCAACTTGAAAAGGAATGAGAGAACTGGGGATTCTTTTCCCCTTCTCTTGCACTTATAACGTCTTTTGTGACATTGACTGGTAGATAGTTTTGGTCGTCTTACCCAGTTGTTTGCTTTCTTTCAGTGGCTACAAAGAAAAGGTGCTTTGTTTTCCTCCAGGCTTTCCTCAAGATTTACAGGGAAAAACTGAAATCTGAGATATGTTTGATGAGTAGGAGGGCATTTTAAAGATATCCATAAAGCTTTGTGGAGCTCACTACTGCCCTTCCTGGATTTACTTGAGTAACATTTACAACATTTACACCGTGGTGTTTACATGTGAAACTCACTCACTTGATCCTGGTCTCCATTGAAAAAGAAATTATCTTAAATGCTCTTATGGCTCTGAAAAATGCCACTTAGTTAAGGAGGATTTATATTCCCCTTTCAGTTTCTTCCTAGTTGAAAGATTGTAAGTTGTTTTACTTTCTTTGGAATTTGCCAAGGCAACTTAAAGTAGATGCAACATTATCTTATTCTAATAATAAAAACCAAATAAAATGCTTTGGATACCGATTTTGAGAATATAAAGTATCTTATTAAACACCAATTTTCTTTTTTCTCTCTGGTGCTTTTATAACTCTTGTCTTTCTCTCATAGCCTTTCACAGTACAGCGACGAGAACATGATGGACCCATATAACCTGGCCATTTGTTTTGGCCCCACATTAATGCCTGTCCCCGAAATACAGGATCAAGTGTCTTGTCAGGCTCATGTGAATGAAATTGTCAAAACCATCATCATCCACCATGAAACTATTTTCCCAGATGCTAAAGAGCTGGATGGCCCTGTTTATGAGAAGTGTATGGCTGGAGACGACTACTGGTAAGTCTGGGAATTTTAGTCTTTCTGCCCCTGGAAAAATTATGGAAGTATACATATCAGTTTAATAAGAATAAGAAGTGACCATAGGTTGCCAAGGTCTCCAATTTCTAGAAAAAGAAGAAGCAGGAACATTTGAGATAAGTTAGACTAAGACCCATGACAGCACTGGCCTCTTACTATGATAACTCCCATTCATTTCTCCCTTTTCCCCAAAGATGGCATCTTTTTAGATATATCCACCCTACTGCATAGAGAGTCACGGTTTTGAAACATATTACATAGAACTGAATTCATTTTATTATTATATCAGGCAGAGATAACTGATGGAACTGACAGATTTCAGTTTCATTGTGAAATAGTTTTGGCTCTATATAAAGTACTTTAAAGGTATCATTTTAAAGGAGCCCTGTCAACCAAATATGTTTTCATTCTTAATTATTTCTATTCTTACTAATAAATAGCATCCTATCCAATTACAGTAGTAATGGCCATTTTAAGCAAATTTATTTTAATTTATCTAATTTATTATTAATATATCACTAGGATAGAAAATGGCAGTAATAGTCACTATTACTATTATTTAGTATTATTATTTAGTATTTAGTAGTACTATTTAGAAGTTCTACTAATACTACTATTACTATTATTATACCATCAATATTATATATTATTAATATGGCAGCATAGTCACTAGTGAAGTATGAAGATGGGGGAAGTGTGGTCATTGGAATAATCCCAAATGTCTGTGGTCACTGTGTGATCTGTGAATTTCTGCTTCTAAGAAGTCATATACAATAAAAGTGGCTTTGGTTCCTTGAGCCCCTGCTGTGTGCTGGCTACGTGTGATCGGTTTATGTACTGACCACTCTACCAAGTGAAGAGAGGCCAAGGAGCCTCTCTAAGGACTACTCGTAACTGGAGGCAGCCCAGGTCTGTCAGATTCCAAAGCCCACATGACTCTTCGCACTCAAAAGCTGCCTCCCAGCCCACCTCGGAAACTGTTCTGGGCAGCTGGGATTCAGGAGCAGCTGGAACAGACCTATCTAAGCCCATTCTGCAGCCCCCTGAGGACAGTTTGTTTCCCATTGCCTCACCAAGAACTAGGCAGAAGTACAGTGAGTAACTGAAGGACCGTAAGCACCTGAAAGTACACTTGAACTATACCACGGGTCTTATACCACCGTATGATCATATGTATGCCTTAAGGAGGCTGAAGGTTGACTATTTCCAGAAGCATTCCTTTCTAAATTTAAACAACAAAGCATGATAGATTCCAGTTCTGTGGTGTATCTGGCAATTTCGCACATGAAATTGAATTCAAAAATATTTACTTGAGCATGTACAGTGTGCAAGATACTGACTACTGAGCTTGGCTCTAGGAAGATAAATGAATAAAACTCAGCCCTGGTGAGATGCATAACTTTATCTTCATAGTTGTATTTATTGCGAGGCCAGTGTCACAGTACTTGAAACATCAGTAAGTTGTGCTGTCTCATTCCTTTTATCAAAGAGTGATAAGTGGCGGTCTGGTCCATATTATCTGATACATTGGATCCTAGGGTTTTTGTGGTCACTACTTCTTTACAAGCAGGCCCCATAATAAAGGATCCTAGAGTCAGTAACGTGTGCTTGACTGTGTCCTTCATCCATGCATAGTGTTCTCTATGGGCATCACTCATTTAAACAGGAAGTCAGCGATAAAGTAGTTATCCTTCTCCCCAACCAGCAATATAAATGGACTTTTACAGAATGTCAGGTTTGTATGTGTGACAGATGCATTCCATTTACGAACATACATTTGAGGAGTGTGGTTGTGCTAAAGGGTAAGTTTTTTAAAAGAATAGGGGCGCCTGTGTGGCTCAGTGGGTTAAAGCCTCTGCCTTCGGCTCAGGTCACGATCTCAGGGTCCTGGGATCGAGCCCCGCATCAGGCTCTCTGCTCAGCGGGGAGCCTGCTTCCTCGTCTCTCTCTCTCTCTGCCTGCCTCTCTGCCTACTTGTGGTCTCTATATGTCAAATAAATAAATAAAATCTTTTTTTAAAAAAGGAATAAAAATCATGACTGGCTCAAATCTGCAATGAACATATGTCAAGAAAAGATGGGGAAAATACTACAGCCAATTCAGAGCTGAACTCAAAGAGCCATCAGTTGATATGCAGTAAGGTGTCTTGGAATGAATTTGCAAAAAGTGGTGTATCCATAGGGCAATAATCATATTCTACTAGAATTCAACCAATTTTAATTTCTGTGGATACAAATTATCTGTGTCAAAGATGAAGGGACCTGGGCTCCCCTAGGACCAGATGATTCTTGGAGCCTCCAGAATTTCACTGAAAGACTATCCAGCCACTCTTTAGCCATTCAAGTTTTATGTAGTAGCAGTTGTTCATTTGTTAAATTCTTTCTTTGACTTTTAAGAATATCCATTTCCACTTTGCAGTGACAGCCCATACAGTGAGCACGGTACATTGGAGGAAGTGGATCAGGACGCTGGTACAGAGCCCCACACCAGTGAAGACGGTATGCCCTTGTGCCCATACTATTATAAAACTAACCTTAATATCCATTTTTTTAGAATTGCTTATATTAAGAATTCAGTAGGATACAAAAGAAAATTTATAAAATATGTGTAAAGTATGAAGAATAATATTACAGTGAACACCACAGACCACCACCAATTTGAAGAAAAAAAGACATCATTACCTTTGCCTCCCCTGTTATGACTGCCTTCCCTACTCCGTCAGGGGTAACCGCTATATGTTTGTTTTTCAGTGGTTTGTTGTTTCATTTTCTGTTTTCTTGAACTTCCTATAAATGGAATCATACTGTATACTCTTTTCATGATTTTTTTTTTACTCAGTATTATATTATGTTCCTGAGATGCACCCACATTGCTAATGCAATTATAATCATTTATTTGACCACTGTATGATATTCCATTGTATTTATTTTTTTATTGATGAATATGGGGGGTATTTTCCATTTTTTGCCATGAAAAAGTGTACTGTTAGGAATATTTTGAACAGGTATGCTACTACAGTACCACAAATGTACAGGACTGTCTCTAGGATATATGCTTCTAGGAGTAAGCATGTTTCCAACTTTACTAGATATAGAGCCAAACTGTTTTTGAAAATAGCTGTAATGATACACACACCCCACCAGTAGTGTATCAGCCTTCCAATCGGACATATTCATCACCACGTGATGAATTTTACCAAATATTATTATCTTTGCCAATATTGTCGTGATTTTAGTTTGCATTTCTCTGATCACTGATAAAGATGTTGTTTTACAATATAGAGTATTAACAGAAAACTTGGCATATAGTAAGAACATCAGATCAGGAGGTGATTGCCATTGAAAAGATACATTGTTACTCACAGTACTCAAGTTACTCACAGTACGCAAGTGGAAAGGGTACATCATTGTCACAGGTGGCCACACAGAAAAACACCAAGGTTGGTCAGGAGGCAGAAGAGGAAGGAGCAACTGGGAAAGAGTCTTTGCAGGGGTTTCCACAGGAAGGAACAGGCGGGGCAGGGTAAACAGGTTTCAGATGGGCTAGTGAGAATAATTCCAGCGGGCTCTGGGGAATAGGGGTGGTCTCTGGTTGTCTGATACCTGGCGCAGGTGGTTAGGGCAGGTGCATAGTGGTTGGGATGGGCTCTGGCTTGGTTGGTTTGTCTTTGAAAGGCACAACAGGCGAGTTGTTTACACTATCCAGGAATTGGTGATCCTTGGGAGGGCCAGTCCCTCTGGTAGCAGCAAGGTCAGAATACAGAAAATAAAAAATATGTCAGAATACAGAAAATAAAAAATATGGTTCATATAGAGATACTGACCCTTATGTGCTTCAATTTCTTTTTTTGTGTGAAATTTCTATCAAGTGTTTTACCCATTTAAGGTTCATTTGCCTTCTCTTCATTTCTCTGGGCTTTTTTTTGCTTGGTTTAATTTGATTTGGCTTTGTTTTTTTTTTCTTATTTATAAGAGTTCTTTGTGGGTCTGGATCAGGTCTTATTGTGTTATGTTTTGCAAATATCTTGTGCTCTGTAATTTGTCTTTCATGTGCTTATTATGTCTTTTGTTAAACAAGGAAATTTTAAAGGAGTTGAAGTTACCCAATCTTTTCCTTCATGGTTGTTTCACTTTATATCTCCTTTAAGAAACCTTTCTGTGCTGAGTGCAGGTAGTGAAAATAATTCCCCCATATTCTCTTTTACTTTTTTTTAAAGATTTATTTATTTATTTTGGAGAGAGAAAGAGAGCATGTGAGCATGAGTTAGGGGCAAGGGTAGAGGGAGAGAGAGAAGTAGACTCCTTGATGAACAGGGCTCATGACCTGAGCCACCCATGGTGTACCCCCCCACACACACCATATTCTCTTTTAAATGCTTTCAGGGGGCACCTGAGGGGCTCAGATGGTTAAGCCTCTGCCTTTGGCTCAGGTCATGATCTCAGGGTCCTGGGATTGAGCCCCATGTTGAGCTCCCAGCTCAGAGGGTAGTCTACTTCTAAACCTCTCCCTCTCCCTCTCCCCATGCTTGTGCTCTCTCTGTCTCTCACTCAATAAATAAAATCTTTAAATAATAAAAAATAAATAAATAAATAAATAAATAAATAAATAAATAAATGTTTTCAGGTTTTAGTTTTCACACATAGGTCTTTATTCTACCAGGAATTTCTTTGGAGGTATGGCATGAGGTTGGGATCCATTCCTTTTTCTCCATGTGGATGCACAGTTGGCCCAGCACTAATCGTCCTTTTTTCACAGCTCTGCATAAATCACGTGTCCTCTTTGCACAAGTCTGTTTCTGGGCTCTCTGCTTTTCCACTAATCTACTTCTCTATCCCTCCTATCTTAATTTTGGTACCTTTTTAAAAAATCTTCGAATTTGGCAAACCAAGATCTCTGACTTTGCTCTCCTTAACAATTCTTGATCTTTTGCAACTTCAGTTAAATTTTAGACTCAGTTTTTCAAGTTCTTAAAACAAACAAAAACTAAAATCCTGTGGGGGTTTTGATTGCGGCTGCACTATTCTACATATATTAACATGGAGAGAAGTGACATTTTATAATATTCAGTCCTCCAGTCCAGAAACATATTTCTAGTTATTTAATGTCTCTCAATAAACTTTTATACTTTTCTCTTTAGAGACCATTTTTTTCTCTTTCTAATAAGTTTAATCTTTAACATTACTTTTCAACACATTTTTTTTGTCATTTTAACAGTTTTTATTTAAAATCATACATCAGGGGCGCCTGAGTAGCTCAGTCATTAAGCATCTGCCTTCATCTCAGGTCATGATCCCAGGGTCCTGGGATCAAGCCCCATATCAAGCCCTGCATTGGGCTCCCTGCTCCGAGGGAAGCCTGCTTCTCCCTCTCCCACTCCCCCTGCTTGTGTTCCCTCTCTCACTGTGTCTCTCTCTGTCAAAGAAATAAATAAAATCTTTAAAAAGGAAGAAGTCATATATCAGATTACTTTATTCCCACATCTTCATCTTCTCAGTTGTTGCTTCCTTATATTTGTTCTTTTCCTTTCTTATCTGGCAAGATTTGACTTTATGTTCAAGGATCTTTTTGTAGTCTTTGCCCAGTTTGAATCTACTAAATGCCCAGGTGGACAGTTGCGCCATTGGCCTGCTCTTCCTGTACTCGTTCAATGAAGATGACATATTTCTTCTTTTTTTTTTTAAATTTTATTTATTTATTTTGACAGGCAGAGATCACAAGTAGGCAGAGAGGCAGGCAGAGAGAGAGAGAGAAGCAGGCTCCCCCTGAGTGGAGCACCCAATGCAGGGCTCTATCCTAGGACCCTGGGATCATGACCCGAGCTGAAGGCAGAGGCTTTAACCCACTGAGCCACCCAGGCGCCCCATTTCTTCTTGTAACCAGGACCACTTTGCCCATTTGCTGACCTTTGTGGTATCCTCACACAACTTATACTTCATCATCCTTGTAGATGTGTGTGGATCAAACATTGTACTTCTGTCTTAGCTCTTTGAAAAGAGGGAATGACATAATGTTCCTGGGAATATGGGAAGGTGCAGTCAAATGCCTTTTCTGGTACTTGCTCTGGTCAGAAGTCATGAAGGGATTAAACCTCATTTTGGTCACTGGTGCTTCAGGGATGGCTGCTCGACACCTTTTTTTAAGATTTATTTATTTATTTCAGAGAAATAGAGAGCTGGGGGAGGGGCAGAGGGAGTCTTAAGCAGACTCTGCACTGAGCACAGAGCCCCATGTGGGAGCTCGATCACACAACCTTGCGATCACAACCTGAAACGAAACCAAGAGTGAGATACCCAACCAACTGTGCCACCCAGGCACCCCAACACTTTTGACATATGAACATATAAAGCTGTCAGATTTCTCTTAGTATCTCTTTAGCTGTATACATGATCCTTTTATTCTCTCTTTAGTTATGACTAATCTGCTTTAAACCCAACCGCTAAGTTTATATTTGTAATTTTTTTTCTACAATTTGGTTCACTTCCGCATTGGCTGCTTAATCATTTTTTACAGTCTTTTGTTCTTTACTCATATTAATCCTTTCCGTTGTTTTAAATTGTGATTGTGATCATTCTAACATCTGCAGTCTTCCTGGATTTGTTTTTGTTGGTTCTTGTTCATTGAGTCTTATTTTCCAGAGTGTTTTGTAAATTTTTTATGTATTCCTTAGAACTGTGTGGAGTTCCTTTAGGCTCAGTTGTAGGTAAGTTCCTCCAGAAAGGCTTCTGATTTACTTCTGCCTGGGGCACAACCACCTTGGGACCATATTGAATTTTTAGCTTGAGGTTTTCCAGGCCACCCAGGTAGTGTGATTTTAAACTGCAAACCTACCTGAGGACTGGAATGTGGTCAGGATTCTTGGAGATTATTTGTTCCAAGAGTTGAGATAGATTCTGTTTTTAAGTCCAGGAGGGAGCGGGAGTGATGTATACCATCTCTGGAGAAATATGGAGGGCTAGGAGAGAGGAAGATTTCTAGAACTAGAAGCTCACTGTGACACTGAGAGTGTGATCCTCTATGGGGATTTACCTTCTCCACACTGAGCAGACCCTGGACTTGGTTTTTTGTCCAAAATGAAACCTTAAGTTAACCAGGCAGGGAAAATATCCTCAAGGCAAACTCTGACTCACATTTTCTCATGTTCTGTTTACCTCACCGGGTTCCTACATTTGTTGTTTTTTGTCTTTAATATTCCATACTGTCATGGCAAATTATTAATGAAATTACAAAGATTTTTTTAAATCCAGGGTTTTTCAGGGCACCTGGGTGGCTCGGGCGTCTGCCTTTGGCTCAGGTCATGATCCCAGGATTCTGGGATGGAGCCCCACATCAGGCTTCCTGCTCAGTGGGGAGCCTGCTTCTCCCTCTCTCTCTCTGCTGCTCCCCCTGCTTATACTCTCTTCCTCTGTCAAATAAATGGATAAATAAAATCTTTCTTTAAAAAAAATCCAGGAGGGACACCTGAGTGGCTCAGTTGGTTAAGCGTCTGCCTTCGACTCGG